TTCTAAGCAAAGGTTAGGAAAGGGCCATGCAGTCAATGACCTGACAATGTTTGACCCTGGAATACAGACTAAAAAATGACCTTCTTTCACATGTTGACCAGACAGAGAATACTCTCATGAACGTTTTGTAGGGGACCCAAAGCTAAGTTTGGCCAATTGCCTTTTCCTGAACTGGGCATCCATCTAATGGATCTGTAACTGTTATCCCTTAGGCCAGCTTGGACTGGATTGGCGGCTTATTGAACCATTCCCTATGAAACACTCCCTTATACCTATATTAGAAATAAGGTGCTCCAGAACAAAACAAAAACAGTTTCATAAGACAAGACTTTATAATATAGACAAACAAAAGCAAAGGGAAAGTGAGCAGCAGGGGAATAAGCAGTTTAATGACAAAAATAGTTATCAAATGGTATATCTCCCAAACCGAAGGTCTAATAACCTTATACAAAGGCCTAGGTATAATAATTTACTAGCATGTACACCTGTAAACTAAAATATCAAATTACTTTGTACAAACACTGAGGTCTAATGATTTTATACAAAGACCTACTTGGTTATAAATCATATAGGTGGTGAGAAGTCAGTGAAACTACTGGAGTTCAGATTGTCATTGGAACTGACTTAACTGGTAGCAGATAGAAGGAAAGATAGAGTTTGGGCACAATGAACCCAGTAAGCTCATGTGTTGCCTTCTGGGAAACAAGAAAGTTAGAGATTGGCGTACTTTCCCAGACTTAAGTGGGCTGACATCACCTATAGAAGCATATTTACTTGTTGACTGCCTGGCATTCTGCGTTTTTATATTTTTTTTATTTTTGGGACAGAGAAAGACAGAGCATGAACGGGGGAGGGTCAGAGAGAGAGGGAGACACAGATTCGGAAACAGGCTCCAGGCCATCAGCCCAGAGCCTGACGCGGGGCTCGAACTCACGGACGGCGAGATCGTGACCTGGCTGAAGTCGGACGCTTAACCAACTGCGCCACCCAGGCGCCCCGACTGCCTGGCATTCTGAAATGTATTTATGGGGTGAGTCACTTACTGATTGGTTGACCCTCAGAAGTTAGGGACTATCACTGACTGGTTAGCTTTGTTAAAGTGTGTTGACTGAGGTGAGTTATCATTCATTGAGCCAATGGATTTAAAACTGATTCTGGATACTGTGATTATAGGAACAATCAAACTTGTCCTAAGAATGTGGCAATTAAAAAAAAAACTATTTAATGTTTATTTTTGAGAGAGAGAGAGACAGACAGAGTGTAGCGGGCAAGGGGTAGAGAGAGAGGGAGACACAGAATCTGAAGCAGGCTCCATGCGGGCTCAAAGCTGTCAGCAGAGAGCCCACTGTGGGGCTTGAACTCACGGACTGCGAGATCATGACCTGAGCGGAAGTCGGATACTTAACCAACTGAGCCATCCAGGTGCCCTGAAACTTTTTTTTTGAAGTTTATTCATTTATTTTGAGAGACAGAGCAGGGAGGGTGAGAAAGGAGAGAAAATCCCAAGCAGGCTCTGTGCTGTCAGTGCAGCGCCTGATGCAGGGCTCAAACTCACTAACCCACTAACCCTGAGATCATGACCTGAGCCGAAACCAAGAGTCAGACCAGACACTTAACTAATTGAGCTGCTCAGGTGCCCCTGTGGCAACTTTTTAATATTCTCACAGTTGATACCAACTATTTTTTTTCACTAGAACAAGTGTGAGTTGAAATTTGATACAACAGAAAATTATATATTTACTTATATTAATAGATCGGAGTTTTGTGGTGTTTTGTAAAGAGCAATGTGACTAATAAGTGTTTCACTATGACGAAGTTTGAGAACCATTAGATACCACCACTAGATTAGGGTGTTTCCTAAGAGGCAAAAGTATTAGTTAGATAACTTAATCAGGAAATAGTTTATTTTTTGAATTAAATTCATTATTTTTAATATTCATCCAGCAAGAAGGAAAATATTTGGCAACATGCTGAGAGGAAGAACACAGACACTGGAAACATAGAGAGGGTGTGTGTGTTGGGACCTCAAAGGTCATAAGACTAATCTCCCTCCAAGTTCAGAAATCTCCTTTCCAATTTATACCACCCCTCACAGATGATTTCCAATCTCTACTTGCATGCTTTAAGTAATGAGGCACTTACTACACATCACAAAGAAACTCATATTTTGAATTATTCTGATTTCTTAATGACCTAAGATCTGCTTCCTTGTACTTCTATCTGATAATTCCAGCATTTCCAAGCCACATCAAATAAATCTATTTTACTGACTTTATTGGGTCAATATGGAAGCACTTCAGATATTTGGAGGCAATTGTTATGCAACACTTGTGTATTGTAACTCTAGTAGTCTATTCAATTATTCTGTAGGTGACAGGGTTTCTGGATTCTTATATGCCCAAGTCACTCTGATCTTAGCAGGTTTTTGTTTGTCACGGTGTCTCTTGAAATATAACAACAACTTTCATTGGCTGAAAGCTTACTGTATGCCAGGTAGTGCTGTAAGCACTTTACATGCATTATCTCATTTAATTAGCAAAATTATCCCACAAGGAAGGCACAGTTTTATAGATGGGGAAGGAACTTAACTAACCTGAAGCGGGGAATTTATAAGTAACTTTTTCAAGGTCCTAGAGCTAGCAAACAAAGGAGTCAGAATGCAAACCTAAGCATATCCAGGCAATCTTATTTAACTTCTTTGGTTTCCTGCCTGCTAGATTATAAGGTAAAACAAAACCTCCTCCTCATCCCTTTTGCTTGACATTCCACTTCTACTACTAAGATGCTAGGTTTTTTAGCAGGCCCTTGTTGGCTTATATTGAGCTGGCAATTAGTGAAACACCTAGGTCTTTTTCACGTGATCTGCTGCTAGAATAAACCTTTATAATTCTGTGGCCATGCAACTGGATTTTTGGAACTAATTCTGTACTCTTTCTTCTTCCCTGTTCAGTTTCAATTGGTTAGCTTCAGTGCATGGTACTAACCTGTTGAGCCGTTTTGAATCCTGACTCCACTGTCTCAGCTCTGCATCAGCAACAGAATTGATACCTTCTGTCACTTCTCCTGGGTTGATGATAAAATTGCCAATCAGGATAGGGCCAAGGACCATTTTTGTCCCTGTGTTGGGAGAGAGACTTATATCTGACCATAGTCTTTCAAGATCACCTCAAAACCTTGACTCTGAAACTATTAAGCAAACCCTTTTTCCTTCCTTTACTTTAACCTGGGGTTTCTCAACCTTAGCCCTATTAACATTTTGGACTAGAGAATTCTTTGTAGTGGGCGGGGGGACCTGTGCATTATAAGATGTTTAGCAGCATTCCTGGCTTCCTTAGATGCTAGTAGTAATGCCCTTCCTCCCCTACCAGACAACCAGAAATGTCTCCAGACATTTTCAAATGTCTTCTGGGTGGGGGTGGGAGTGGGGGAAACAGAACAAAATTGCTCCTTGTTCTTTTGAGTATCAGTGCTCTAACTTCATGAATTGGTTACGTGAGCAATCAAGTATTTATTAAGAACCTATTATTTGCCCAGGACTTGATACTTTCAACAAACACTAAAGAGGAAGAGGAAGATAAGGACCTTGATCGTGAGAAGATTATACTTTTTCCCTGGAGGAAGAGGACTGGATGGGTGTTAACCAGCCTTTTCTCTTTCTAACCAGGAGCTTCTCACTATGATTTGAGTTGATAAAGAGGAAGGTTTGGTAAAGCTAGAGATCCAATTAGCCATTCTTGGCTTGCTTTCTCTTTTCCTACCAGCTGGGAAGCTGGTGCTTCTTTCCTCTTTCTTTCTTTTATTAAGATACAGTTAGAAGAGGGGTGCCTGGATGGCTCCTTCCATTAAGCATCTGACTGTAGCTCAGGTCATGATCTCATGGTTCCTGAGTTCGAGCCCCGCGTCGGGCTCTGTGCTGACAGCTCAGAGCCTGGAGCCTGTTTCGGATTCTGTGTCGCCCTCTCTCTCTCTGCCCCTCCCCTGCTTGCGCTCTGTCTCTCTCTCAAAAATAAAATCAATATTAAAAAATATATACAGTTAGAAGAAAGGTATCAGTCATAGGAGGCTCTGGTCTGGTGTGAGGTGGCAAATAGCCTTTCTGCCCTAGAACTAATCTGTATCTGCTGTTAGTGTGCTGTAGCTCAGAAGTTGATTTATCTTTTTTTTTTTTTTTTTTTTTTTTTAATAAAGACAACCACGTGCAATGCCTCATTTGGATGTGTCTGGAGTCTTGGAAGCTTGACTACCCTACGTTCTCCTACAAATGGACCTCGAGAGCTTGTTTGGAGGTTCTAGCAGGGGAACGCAGCTACTCGTATACCCTTGACAGAAGACGGTCCTCCTCTATCGGGGAAGGTCGTCCTCTTCGACCAAGCGAGCTCACAGCTTCAGGAGGGACGCACATGGAGCGGTGAGGGAGGAAGGGGACACCCGCCTAGCCAGCCAGATCAGCCGAATCAACCCTGGCGATCAATCGGGGGACAGATGTTGTGGCCAGATCACCCTCACATCTGAGAAGTTGATTTATCTTCTGATCTTAAAATGCTAAGTCTAATGCAAGGTATAAAAGTTTCTCTCCTGCCTGCGACCCCTAACATGAAACAAAAACAAATCTTCAGCATACTTACAAGCGTGTACTATGAACATCAGGGTCCCTAACAGTGAAGCAAACGCTGACTTGGCTTCAGGGAGCTGCTCTTCCCACAGTGCTCCTGCCCCTTCACCAGCATGCTCACCCTGCTTGCTATCTCTCCACCCCAGGGAAACATGGTCAAGGAATCAGATACTGAGATGTAGTATAAAAAGATTTTTATTTCAAAATGCAAAATGGTGGTCGCCGTAATAATAATAATATAAAAAGCATTTCCCCTCCTTCCACCCTAGTGCAAAATGGTAGATGCACTCAGATAGCTCAAAGATACATAGTTTTGTATGTGTCTTCCTGCAGTGCTGCACAGCAGCAAAACTCAATCCCAAACTCCTTTTGGTGGATCCGTCTGGTAGTTCAGTTCTGGAAGTCAGTGGCTTCTCAGATGTAAGTCCAAACAGCACAGGACTCCTGCTCTCTCCCACTTGGGCCTGACCCTAGGCGCGCTCTCTTCTCACGCTCAGGCTATCTGTCCCCTCCCTCTGCCGGCTCCCAGGGGTCCTAGGAGGCGTGCAGCCGGTTGGAGAGCGCCCGGCTGCAGAGGACGGCCTCCTGCTGCTTGCCTTTCTCTAGCGGGGCCTGGGTCTCCAGGACCTTCCGTTCCCGGGCGGCCTGCAGCTCGGCCACCGCTGCCTCCCTGTCCCGCAGGCGGCTGGCGGCGGTGAAGGGGCAGCACACAGTCTCCACCAGGCCGATCACCACGCCGAAGAAGGCCAGCACGCTGCCCAGCACGTACAGCTTCACCAGCTTCCGATTGGGCTTCTGGGCCATCATCTCCCTGGCCAGCGGGATCAGCTCCTGCACGGTTTCCATCTCGGGGGCGGGGATGACCTGCGGGAGGAGCGGCGCAGGAAAGGGGCCCGTTCAGCCACGGAAGGATGGCCACGGCCTTCCCGAGCACCCTTCTCTCGGGTGTCCCGCAGGAAGGGGGACCCGCCCCGGACCCCGCCCAACCGCGCTCTGCCCCGCGGGGCTCACCTTGGAGGCGCAGCGCGAGCGGGAGGCAGCGCGAGCGGGGGGCGGCGGCGCGGCGGCGGTCAGCGCGTCCGGGGTCCGGCCGGCCTCTGCGTTCTCCTCCTCTTCGGCAGCCGCGGCTCTTCCAGGTGGAGACTCCGCAGCTGGCACCTTGGCAGCGTCCCGGGGCCGCTTATATCTTTCCTCCGAGACCCGCCTATCGGGCTCCCAGGGCCCCGGGCCAGCGCAGTTCTTGCCAGAGGAAGGAGGGGTGAGGAAGGGGAAGGGGCGGGGCGGGGCGGGGGAGGGGAAGGACCGGGAAGGGCCCAGGGGAGGCGGCCGCGAACAGTGCACCTCCAGGCGGTGTGAGCTGCGAGTCCCGGGCAGGGGAGACCGCGGCGTGGGTGCGGGGTGGGGTGCGGCCGCAAAGCAGGAGGTCCCACTCCGGGTCCGCACAAGGGTGAGGACCCGGCACCCTGGGTATCGTGTACAGTTCCGACGTGACTCCTCCTTAAGAAGTGTGGGTGGGTGCGCAGCTTCCCTTGTCTGGGGCGACCCTAGAGGGACCCCTATGAGGACATGGGTTGGGGGCGGGGGAGGTTCTACCTAACCGGTAAATCTTTGGTTTTTATTCCTAAGGGGTGTCATCTTCCCACAGGTGTGGGGATCGGAGGGGAGAAGGCAAGGGGAGGGATCGTGGTTAAGGAACGAACAGATCTCCAGGCTCTGTGTGTGCTTGTGTTTCTTTCCGGCCTGACTGGTTTTATTCACAGGTGCTTGCATTGCTAGGGTAACTTGATAGATAACTATTTATCGAGGGTACCCTTTAATTGCAGGTGTATGTGTGATACGTCTCTGTGCTTGCCTCTGTTGGTGTATGTACTTCTGTGTCAGGGAACTACCATTAAATCCAATGATCCCCACTCCTACTTGAGAAGTGCAGTTTGGGGGTTTGGGGGGACCTGAAGATGGAAAGGGGCTGTTGATAAATTTCCTCTGCGGGTCTGGAATGCAGTTAGTTTATGCTCTCAATAATTATTTGCCACTTCCCTGGGTCTGGGGGTGCCATACCACAGAGCCAGTTCAGCTTATGGAAACAGGGGTGGAAGGGTGAGAATAGGGGGTTTGGGTAAGAGTTAAAGAGACAATTCTTGGAGGGCTCCCGGCTGGCTCAGTTCAGAAGAGCATGTGACTCTTGACCTCAGGGTCATGAGTTTAAACCTGACTTTAGGAATAGACATTACTTAAGTAAGACTTAAAAAGAGAGAGCATTCTTTGAAGCAAGTGTGAAGAGAGTAAGATACATTTTGGCCTGGGTGAAAACATCCTCACCTTGGGGTAGGGTGTAAGGATAAAACTTTGGTTATCCACTTATCCGAGTTAGCTAGCAAGAGGGGAAAAGCAGAGGTAATTGGGCCAAAGGGCTGCAAGCAGTGAAGGGAGAGGGCAGGAGGAGGAGGGGGAAATCAGACTGGCCAGAAAATTGTAAAGGTCAGTGATGCAATCTTGCAACAGTTTGTCATAGGCTGAGTGCTGTGAGGAGGGACTGGGTAAAGGGCGGCTTCAGAGATCAAGTGTTTGAGTCCTTGCAAATTTTAACCGTACTCCTCTCTCTCGGGGGGGGGGCTGGTGCTGAGGCAGTTTCCCAATTTGGTTAAAAAAGGCAACAATAATAACTACCCTATGCCGTGGCTATTAGTATTTCAGGTAATAAGATCTATATATGCTTGCAGATTGGGCAAGGTTACTTAAATAGCTTTTGTAAAATTTTACATTTTAGTCTGTACCCAAGCAGTCAAGGTGACGTGGGGCCCAACAGGGGTTATTCCTAGACGGTGGTGTCCTGGTGCTTATTGTTCTTTTAATGTTGTCAGACAGGAAATTTGCGCAACAAGGGACCAATTTGAGATTAATATCAATCTTGGCATTTTCTGTGAATCTTCCTTACAATTTTGGAGAAGTCTCCAATACCTGGCAGAAATGATACATGAGCTTTCTCAAGATTTGTGAGTGTTCCAAACATTGTGGCCTCTGGAAGAGTGTGTGATGTGTACCTTAATATCAGAGCTTTCACCCGGTTTCTTCTCTGAAAGTGAGTCAGCCCAGCTTTGGACCCAAAACTCTGAAATTGACTCAATTGTAAGCATTTCCGGTATTTCTGTAAATCGAAGACAAAAACCGCATGTCTTCCAAGGTCAGCAGACTGTAATTTACCTACAGTTCCCCTTTCTTGTGATTTGCTGTGGCAGAATACATCAGCATCTCAGATAAGTTCCTCTCTTCCCCTCTTTGATAATCTGACTTTGACCCCCAGACCCCACCAGCTTGCTGGCCAGACGGAGACAGACACATCAGCAGGAGGTATGGATTGGAGTTGCCAGTGCATTTGGTGCTTCTGGTTTAGGTGGTAGCTGGGGCTGAGTGGGAGATGGTGGGAACCGAAGGCTGAGGAATCCAGGGCCACCTCATGTTTAGGAATTTCTGATAGCTCCTCTGTCTAGTGGGGCAAAAGAACCCAACTTCTAGGGTAGCAGGTTAGGTAGGGCTTGAGAAACTAAGCATGTGCTTTGTGCTGATGTCACTTTAGAGATGTAAAGCCTTGTGTTGCATCACACAGGTCAGACACAGGTTATAGCTCTGAAGGCCGGACCAGCTACAGGGTCATCAACCATTTCAGTGTGCCTAGGGCTGAGGGGTTTCCCTGAGTGCAGGAATTAACAGGGCTGAGAGTGGGACAGCTCTGGGTAAACTGGGATAGTTGGTCACCCTACCCTGGAGTCTATCCTAACATTTAATTCTGCCATTTCTAGGAAAGTAGGAAAGGCTAGTTTAAAATGTATTTGTTTTCGGGGGGCCTGGGTGGCTCAGTTGGTTAAGCGTCTGACTCCTGATCTCAGCTCTGGTCATGATCTCATGTTCGCGAGCCCCACGTAGCACTCTGTGCTGATGGCATGGAGCCTGCTTGAGATTCTGTCTTTCCTAGTCTCTCCCCCTCCCCCACTCATTCTCTCTCTCTCTCTCTCTCTCTCTCTCTCTCTCTCTCTCTGTCTCTCCCTCTCTCAAATAAATAAAACTAAAAAATTTGTGTTTACAGGGGTGCCTGGGTGACTCAGTAGTCAGTTAAGCATCCGACTTCGGCTCAGGTCATGATCTCATGGTTCATAGGTTCAAGCCCCGTGTCGAGCTCTGCGCTGACAGCTCAGAGCCTGGAGCCTGCTTTGGATTCTGTGTGTGTCTCTCTCTGTGTGTCCCTCCCCCTCTTGCACTGCATCTCTCTCAAAAATAAATAAATGTTACAAAAAATTTTTTAAAAATTTTGTTTATTTTGCTTTCCAAATCCCTTTCTCCCAAACATTAAAATACCCAGAACCATCTGCAGAGGAAACAGTCACAAAGGTACAACAGGTAGTCTTAGGGATAAGTGCAGAGGTGGGATAGAGCTGTCCCAACAATTGTGCTTCGGGGATTGAAGGAACAGGAGACCGAGGCCTTTTGGATGATTGGTTGTATATGAATTTCAATGATTAGTATTATTATTTTGTTACCAGCTCCTTGCTGCCTAAAGTCACTGCTCACCCCTGGTATTCCAGGAGGCAGGAGGGAGAGGATCATCCATCCTAGAAGATAGGATAAAATCATTTGTAAATCTTACACTCAGTCCTTAGAGTTATTTTCATCTCATGTATGCTAGTTGGAGAGGTTTCTCATCTCTCAAATATCAATGGATGATTTTTATTTTATTTATTATTATTTATTATTTTATTTTATTTTTATTTATATATGATTTTTAAATTTATACATGATTTTAGTTTAGTTTATTTATTTATGCTGAGAGAGCGAGTGGGGGAGGTGCAGAGGGAGACAGGGAGAGACAGAGAATCCCAAGCAGCCTCTGCACTGGCCCCAATGCAGGGTTCGAACTCACAAACCTTGAGATCATGACCTGAGTCCAAGTCAAACACTTAACCAATGGAGCAACCCAGGTGCCCCTTAACTGATGATTTTTAAATCTACACTCTAACTTTTATCTTCCTCTGGTTTTATAGGTTAGAGTTCTAGAGGCTAGACATTTCTGTGTGAATCTCCTGCTTTTATCAAAAACTTAACACACTTTAAACAAGGCTCCCGATATTCTCTGTACTCTTGCAAATGAAGTCACCTTCTCAGTATCCTTGTGGCTAGCAGTGCATCTCCATTTTACCCATTCTCTGGGCCTGAGATACTGTGGCATTTTCTTAGAGAGGCTTCTTTCCTGACGGCTCTATCCCACCATTCCCTACTTAGTGTCCTGCTTTATTTTCTTCATAGCATTTAGTACCTGACTTTATATTGATGAACTGTTGGTTTGCTTTTGTGTTGTCTTCCATGTTAAGCTTCAGTGAGGGCTGGGACTTTGTTTTGCTTTTCATTGTGTCCCAGAACCTTGTATGATTGTTGACATATAGTAGGTTCTTAATAGGTAACTATGGGATTAGTTAATGTCTTCTCCGTTGGACTGGCAAGGGAGGGACTGTGTTTATTAAGTTTGCATGCAGTCAGATGTTTAGTGGATGCTCAAAGAAGCATTTAGGGTATTTTTTATTTTTCTTTTTTTTTTTTTCTTTTTTTTTTTGGTAGGCTCTATGCCCATCATGGGGCTTGAACTCACAACCCCTTGATCAAGAGTTGCAAACTCTACCTACTGAACCAACCAGTAGGCACCCCACTGTTTTTGGGTTTTGACAGTTTTCTTTTCTCCTTGTCCTTCTTCTTCTTCTCCTTCTCCTTCTTCTCCTTCTTCTTCTTTGCCTTTCATCTTCTCCTCTGTAATCCATTTCTAACACTACCACCAAATAAATCTTCCTAAAATTAGATTTTTATTCTTAATGCCTGTTTAAATCCCAGATCATTTCTCATTGCCTACATGAACCTGGATTCTGCATATTGGCTTTACTTGATCAGTATTCCTGGAATCTGATACTTCTATGATCTGCCCTTCCCTACTCATCTAACATTATATTCCATTCTCCAACAAGAACCCTTTGCTCCACAGATGGGTTTCTCATAGCCCGAGTCCATTCTCATTGTGGTTGCCTCACTTTTGCTCAGAATCTTCCTACCTGAAATGCGGTTGTCTTTCTCCTCTGTCTTCCTTCCTTCAGTTCATGTACTCGGAGAAGCCACCAGC